TATATATTATTATTATTATTATTATTATTATTAAGGAACATTTACATGCATAGCAGTCAATTCTTTGTATTTACGTATCTAAATCTAAACTTAAATTTTCCGTACATATGGCAACTTATCTATGCGTGAGAAGGTGCATTTTACTATTTTAAAGTTAAAATAGAGGTATTTTTTTATGTGATATGAAACATTTGGGTGGTATAAATGTAAACATCAAAATTTAGGTATTAGATATGTATATATATAATAAATGGGTAGTATGTAAATGTACTTGTTACTTTTATCAGTTCATTAAATGTAAAAATCAAAATAAACAAGATAGACTCTGACTTACTAGGAGTGTCAATTTGGCTCGTCGTTCTCGAACAACTTGTGTTCGGCTCGTTCGTTAAGCCTAACGAGCCAAACATGAACAAATTTTTAAACTCGAAATGTAAACGAGCCGAACACGAACAAAAGTTTGTTCGCTCGTGTTCGAAAATGTATATTATTAATTTACATAATACATATTCATAAAATTAAATATTATAAATTATAATTAATTAATTTTTTTTAAAAAATAAATTATCATATTTTAAAAAATTTATCCTATAAATTATAATATATAAAAAAAATATTAAAAATATTATATTACTATTACTTATATAAGTATTATATATTTATAGAATATAAGTTACATATTTAATATATATATATAACAATAAACTATAGCACAAAAAAAATCCTAACAATGGACTCCCATTCCCGTCTCGAAAGTTCTGGGGTTCGGCTGCCTTTCCCTCATTCTCCTCTCAATATTGCGAAAGACTTTATGGTGCGAGAGCTTAGGGTTCCCCGTTCATGTTTTCTGCTAATATCTACTTCTATTTCTCCACGGATAGTCAACGTTGGCTCGACTGCTCGGTTTTCTTGCTTGTTTGCTCGATATTCTTGCTTGGTTGCTTGTTTACTTACAGAGGTAATATATTTGAGTATCTTTTCTTTATTATTTCATATTTATCTTCAGATTCATCTCTTAGCTTAAATTTTCTTAAATTTCTTTTAGATTTACTTAGGATTTTTTACTGAAACCTAGTCTTTTAGGGTTTTGGCAGTGAAATCTCGCATATTGCATTTAGATCTGATTTTTTATGGAAGAGATCTGATATAAGGGTTCTTGAAAACTTAAAAAATATGATCTCTACTTCTCCTTCTCGGCAGTGTTGGCTCGATTGATTGGTATTCTTGCTTGGTTGCTCGATATTCTTGGACGGCTGCTTGTTTGGATACCTAGGTGTTATCTTTGAGTATCTTTTCTGTAATATTTCATATTTATCTTTAGGTATATCTCTTGTCCAATTGTCCTAATGTTTCTTAAATTTATTTTATTTGGAAGATTTACATACATACCCCTCTTCGTTGGTTAGATTGATTGGAATTCTTGCTTGGTTACTCGATATTCTTGCAGGGTTGCTTGTTTGGTTACTTTGAGTATCTTTTCTGTAATATTTCATATTTATCTTCAGATTTCATATTTATCTTCAGATTTCTGTAATATTTCATATTTATCTTCAGATATGTCTCTTGAACTAATAATATTTCACATTTTCTGTAATATTATTGCACTTTCTCCTTGGATAGGCATTGTTGGCATATGCATTGTTGGCTGGATTGATCAGTATTCTTGCTTGGTTGCTTGATATTCTTGCACGATTGCTTGTTTCGATCCCTAGGTGTTATCTTTGAGTATCTTTTCAGTAATATTTCATATTTATATTTGGATATGCCTCTTGAACTAATAATATTTCACATTTTCTGTAATATTCTTGCACTTTTGTTTGTTTCGTTTGTTAAAATTTTATCAATGTCATTTCAGCTATAAACATTGCAAAATTTTTTTTCTTAAGGTGTATGCCATTGAAATATGTTATTAACTTACTTGGTATTATCATAAATTCTTCTAAATTTAACTGCTATTGCATGCCATAAAATTATGAAAGAGGTTCAACTCTATATAAGTGGTTGGAAACAAAATGTTTTATGTTTTACTAACATTCTTATTACTCTAATTCAAAATAACCTCAAATTCTAAATACATATCTATGTTATAAGAGTAAACCCTAACTATTGAAAAGTCTAAATCTAGCCATCAAGAAAAATCATAGCATATATTATTACAAAAGTCCTTTTAGCCATCAGAGAAAAACTTTTAAGGAGAAAAACTTGCAAAACATTTTCAATCTCTAATTTTACATTCTTGCTTCGTGCATAAGATCGTGTTGGAGGGGAAAGCTCACTAGATTACCCATCTATTATAAATGAAAAAATGAATGCAATGTTATACAAAATAATTAAATAATCTTACACTACTTAGTACTTACCAGATATAAATATCTCTCCTAACTCGTTCTTTTTTACGCTAATAGTCCTTTAACTAGACCTGTATATCAACTAGAGCCGGCTTATTACTTTTGTTTGAAAAATGGAGATATCCTAGAAATATACTAGCCAATTATTCTTCATTGGTAATCTGAAGATCGATGATCTATTCTTTGATAAAAACATTCAATTGTGATATGTTTATATCTTTTATGAATAAGTGGATTGCTAGCATTATAGATAGTGGTTGTATTATCATAGTTTTGAATTATGGGCTTGAAAAAAATTAAAATCAAACTCTTTTAGGTGAGTTTTTATCCAAATCATTTAACTTGTAGTGTGATCAACGACCTTATATTATCCTTTAACATTGGTTCTAGTCATAACTCTTTATTTTTCTCTTCCATGTTACAAAATTCTCACCAATAAAAATTAAGTATAAAAATATTGATTTACTATTCTCAATGTATCTGACATGATCAAGATCTGTATAAACTTTAAATCCTTTATTGATATTTTTTTCAATGGATTAGTTGTTTTCCACTAGATTTCCTTACATATTTCAAATTCACTAGGTAATGTACTAATGTTCCTTCGTAAAATTTTATATATGATATATTAGGTTTAGTGATATATGGTTAAGCTTTCCAACTATATACTTATAGTATGAGACATTTTTAAAGATTTTTCATTATCAACTATTTGTAGAATATTTCTCTTTAGTCAATTTGCTTCAATAAGATCAATTTACTTTAGAAGGTCTATAACATATTTTCATTACGAGAAGCATATGTTTTATTATATGTAATATTAACACTAAGTATTCTAGGGGGCCTGATTTGTTTTATTATATGTTTTATTCTCATTGGCTTGAAAGCTTTTCCTTATATGTGCCAACTCTCTTTCTCCATTCTTAATGTGAATTCTTCATGCATCCTTCTTTCATCATGGAGAAAAACAAAAGATGAAAAATTTAAGGAGATTATACCTGATGTTATTACTAACTATTATTTGAAGTGTGTTTATGCATTTTTGACTTGGTAGTATGTCTAAAGTGATACAAATTATGAGTTTTTGATCTCATTTACAGTCCAAATATGTCTGAACT